TCTTCTATGGCGAGTTCAATCTGGGGGTGACTGATGTTATCGCCAAGTGTTTCCAGTTATCTGAGGATGACCTCCATTTTTTCTATGTTGGGTCGAAGGTTTTTGAATTGGGCTGTCGGTAAATGCTTTAATTCGCTCTGGAGATGCTTCTTTATTAGGTTTTCATCTCCGTATCTTTGTTGGAGCACTGTTACGACAACTTCATAATTCTCAGGGATTATTGCATATCCTGAGGCTGTCGCCTTGGCTGCTCCGACAAGGCAATTAAGCAAATAATTCAATTTCGTGACCTCTGGAATGGTCTGAGATCCTACTTCTGCCTGGAATCTCGCCCAGAATTCAGGCCATTTTAACAGATCGCCGTTGAATTGTGGTAATTTCAATGTTGGTAAATGGATAGAGGATCTCATAACCGTAGGTGCGACCATTTCTTCTAGTGCGACTTTGGATGGGGTGTCGTTCTTCTCTCTGTCTCTCCTCCCCACTCATCTCGTCCATTAGCTTCGTCCATTCTTCATTCTTGTTACCGAGAAGTTGGATTCTAGTCTTTAGCGTATTTAGCGCGATCGTTAAGCTTAACCTCCGCGAGTCCAATTCGTCTACGCTTTTAACATGTTCATCGCGTTTCGGGAGGCTCGTCAATGCCTTGCTCAATTTTCCGTGGTTGAGGTCAAGGACTTTTCTAATACCCAATGATGTCATGATTATATCTTCGATCAAATATCAATTCAAAACTTGATCACTGAACCTCGTTGATTTCTCCAACGATATAATCTCGATACCGCCGTTCGTTTAGTAATATTCGTTCTGCAGCGATACACTTCGACGGTTTCTCTTTCCTCTGTCGACGTTACGTTCACCTCACCTCGGGCACCATGTAACAACTGCTAGGTTTCCGGCAATCGTTTATTCGTCCAATTACCTCAAATTTGAGTAATTCAACCAATCATCAACATGATAAACAATACATGCGCCTGAAATAGTGAATAAGAATTACATCGTAACATACATATACGAAAACTTTCTAACATAATATATCGTTGATTATATGGCAAGTTATATATAGATATTGATAATTCAAAGTTATAGAACATTAAAAGGGTATCACTGATAACAAAATGGAGATGTTGTCCCAACTTCATCCTTTTATACCTCAGGATAGTAGGTGTAGTGACCTTTAATCGATGAGTTTGTAAAAGCGGAAGTTATCTGAATGTCTTGAAATTTAAACATTTATAAGAATAACTTATATCGGGGTTGTAACTTATGTCAGTGTTTGAGTCGTAGCGAAATCGATTTCGCTCGAATTTGATAACCAAAAAGTGCAGTGTTTACTTGATTTAAGTGCTTACTTGATTTATTATTGTTGTTGTTGTTGACAGCGGTTGTCATTGTTGTTTGTCGTCTTGATTGTCGTGCACCTTGATCGTCACCGCTTGTGCGCTGATAGCTTGACTGATTTGTGTCCTTCGTAGCTTTGTTGTAGCAGAATGCCTAATGGTGATTGGATTTCCCGCAGTAATAGTACGGGTCGTGAACGCGGAGCTGGATTCCACGTCCTTGTCTTGACCAGTCAATTTTCCTTGCTCGATCGGATGTGACCATTTGATATTTTCCCATACTTTCACCATCAGTTATAGTTTCGCACACAGCTTGTTGACGTTCCAGTCGACTGTGCGCTACTTGTCATTGTAAATCTCCAATAATGCTCACTGAGGCAATTCACCTTCAATGAGCGTTTCTAGAAGCGGACACCGTTGCTGTCGAGAAGTCAGAAAGTTTGTATCGTAGATTTGTTATCGACGAAAAAAATGTCAGTTTGTTGAAGGGCGTTAAAATGCGGTAACGAGGGATGAAGGATAAGATATTTTATTAGAGAATAGGTAGTTATTTACAGTATGATGTAACGAGGTGAGAAATTGATTTACAGGTGACAGGTAGAATATATAACGATGATGACGGCGCACTGTCCTTGTAGAACAAGAAATAAGTTTGAGTTGAATATATTTATTGGAGAAAACACAATAAGATGATGCACACAACAGTCACTTGAGGGATTGGGTTGGTTGGATGTCAGTAAGGGTGCTCACAGCCGTTGCTCGGGGGGCATAATTGTGTCGAGAAGTTGTAAAAAGAAACTTTGTTGATTAGACTTGTCCTCGACGAACAAATCTCAACTTGTTGAATGGCGTTGAAATGCGGTAACGAGGGATCGAATGATAAGATATTTTATTAGAGAATACGTAGTTATTTATGGAGGATTTTACTCGCGGACTTCGCGACACTCCCGAGCGGAAAAAGTCTCACGTTTGTTACATTGAGCATAGTCGACGATAGCTAAGCGAGTAACTGTTTGAAAATTGTTGGTCTTCTTTCCACGGCCAGCAAACGTGATATCGGTTGTCATCGAATTTAATAGTGTCCTTGAAGTTTTGTATTGCCACTTCGTCGTCGGTAATTGCACGACTCTCCGTTATTCCAGTCAATTCCAATTTCCGGAATCTCTCCACTGGATCTTCCGATATTGAAGTCGTCACGGTGAGAAAGTCGGCCGACGAGTTGTCGTATGGATTTGTCTCTCCTTTTGTAACGACTCTAGCTAGCGTTGGTTACTGGCAACCCTTCCAACGCTGCTTTGGCCATTCCGTGCAGTGTAGACAAAAAATGCGTGAGCTTAGTGACGTTGGCTATTCTCTGTTGATGGACCAAGTTATCAAATTGGTCCCAGTAACTTTTATATTTGAGCGGATTCCTGTCAAATTTCGGGAGTGATATCGCTGGTAGTGTTATGTTCACTTTGGATTCGTTCGGTTTTACCGGTGGAGGATTCTGACTAATATTTAGCTCCAACAGTCTTTCTTCGATCTCCATTGTTTCATTTAATCTTGCTTCTAAGTTGTAACAATTAGTCGCATTTCCAACAATTGTTTATTCGCTCAATTATCTCAGACTTAGGTAATTAAACCACGGATTAATATAAGCACGTCAAATATTCGAGAATATCAATCGCTCAAGTTATTCCTAGCTTATGTGGTCATTGTAACAGTTTATGTAATAATGGTAGTAACAACAATATGACAATGTTATTCAAGCATAATCGTTTACGATATAATGAAATATAATAATACGAACTAATCAAATAGGATAATCAAGATAAGAACTATGATCAAATGATCAAGTAATAAGATTATCGATGATCAAATAATAAGTATCGAATAAGTATAACAATGATAATAATAGCAACAGCAATGATGATAATAATCATATTTATAAAGAGTAATGGTTTACGAACGGATAAGGCCGAGAATAATTGAGTAATGTGAACTATAATTATGTTAGTGATACTGATAATAACAAATAATATTCATAATATCGATCAAATAAGAAGAACTGTGATTATATTAATGTTATTGGTAATAATAACAAA